AGGCCCCTCTCCATGTGAAGCCCTCCTGCTAGCTGGGGTTTGCAGAGCCCGGCTCCTCCGCCAAGCTAGTGGCCCTGGGCTCCTTTTCCATTTCTGTTTCTTTCTCCTCTGTCTCCTTGAGACTCACTCTCTTTCTACTCCCAAGACCAGATCTTTGCTCAGATGTTCCACCAAACCAAACCAAGTCACGCCTTTTTCCAGCCGTGTCCTCTGCCTCCGTGCTGATCAGGCGCCCACAGACCCCACTCCACATGCATTCTATGCTCCACCACGTGGACTGGACCAGGATGCTGCAGGCTTGGCCTCAACAAGGCCTGGCTGCCCCAGTGCCCAGCAGGGGCGGCACCCCGTCCCCCATTCAGCACTGCCCCCGTCGCATCACCTGCCCCAGGCTCCCTACCCCTCCTCCATCCATTCTTTCCTTAACAGATTCTATATACACAGAAAGCAACTCCCAGGCTGGGATTCCCCTTTTCCCCAACAGAGAAATCATCCATCCGTCCATTTTATCCAGGCAAACAACAAACGAAACACGGTCACACTTTTGGTTTAGCTCACAAAGGCTCAAGTGAAGGGCTGGGTCTCCTGCCCTTACCCCATCCCCACCGGCTGGGTACTCTGAGGGCTATGAGGGCAGAGCCGGGGCTGGAGATGGGGGTGAACCCCTTGAGAGGATGTGTGCTGAGCCTCCGGAGGATGGGGAGCTGAGCTACACGCACGAGGGTTGGTAGGGCAAGTGCTGCTGTTCATCTTGCTACTTTATTTGGGGGTTTGAGAGTGGAGAGGGAAGAGGGGAGCAAACTGTTAGGCTCCAAGAAATGAGAGAGCCTCTGTCATCTCCCCTTTCAGAAGGGGTTCTAGAATTTTACCTGTGGTCTTTGTGACATCGCCCCCAGGCGGAATGCAGTGCAGAAGATAAAGGCATTGGACCATCCCCTCCCTCATTTCACCGGCTCTGCGCTCCGAGGAAGATCCAGCATTTCGTCACATCAGCAAAGGATGTCATTATCGGCAGCGCTAAGACACCTAACTCAAAGTGAGCTCTATTTAAAAAGAAGTCTTTTTTTAAATCCTATTAATCTGAAGGCCATCACAGAACTCTTGGAATGTTCTATGCATATTTTGTAAAAATCTGGTAATTAGTGCATTTCTTTAACAGTTGATCAACTGCATTGTTTTATCAACATAGTGTACGTTTTAGATGAAACAAGGTGCAAAAGGTGGCTCTTGACTTTTCAAAGCCTCCTGCAGTCTGGGGTGGGCAGCATGGGAAAGACCACCGGCTGTGGCGTCAATAGGCCCTGGGCCGAGGTGAGTCCTGTGCCCACCACTGGGCTGCTCTGAACGGCTCTTGCCTCATCCTTTGAACATGGCTGATCACATCAGTCACACCCGAGTGCTGGGGTGGGGGGCAAGTGATCATGGGTCTGGGAAAGACTGTCACGGTCACAGACGTGGGCATGGGGCTTCCTCAATGGGCACAGAGCAGTTCTAGTGGCTGTTGATGCTATTCCAGAGCAAGGTCAAGCCTTTCCTGCTCTGAGAGGAAGAACAGTGTGGTGGGAGAGGGAGACTGACTCTTGGTCAAGACCTGCCTGGCTCGGCCAAGAGCTTTCTGTATGAGCTTGGAATAAATGTGCCGCCTGTAAATCAGATAATGCTGCTAGGTGGCCTTCGGGCCCTCCCTACTCCAGCACCCAAGGTTTGCCTGATCATCTTGCCACTGACTGCCCCCTTGGACTAGCTCCACCTGACTCACACCTCCACTCCACTGTGAGCCCGGGCCCCAGAGAGAGCCAGAGGTATGGCCCAGAAACTCACCGCCTCCCTAGAGAGGCTGGAGAGAGCCCTGGAGGGGCCTCGAGGGTGGGCGAGCCCAGGCCAAAGGGTCTCTGCCCAGGGGCTCTCTGGTTGGAGACTGCACCCTGTCAGTCCAAGAAGGACCAGATCTGGGGCCTCTACCTACCCTCCTCCTTATCTCTGGAACTAGGGGGCTAGGGCTAATCCTTAGGCACCGAGAAAAAATAACAAACAGACATCCAAGGAGGGCCCACAGGGCAACTGGGTTCCTGAGCTCAAGTGGACACATCTGAAGCTCCTGCCTCTTCCCCAGATCCTGCCGGGTGTTTCCTATTTGTGAGACAGCTAAGAGGACACAGCGAAATGGGTTGGTGAGGACTGAGAGGGGCCAAGAAAACATAAACCACAATGAGAAGAAAAGTCATTCGTCACTCATCTGGGCAAACTGGAAACACACATCTGCTAAGGGGGTTGGGCCCTGCCCCAGGACAGGGCAGGTGTCTGCCGGCCGCATGCCCAGCCTCTCACCTGGGCGAGGCTCCAGGACAGCGCGTTTGCTGAAAGATGCGGGGGGCTGCCTGTGGCGTAGCAAAGTTTTCTGCGCGGAGCCAAGAGGCCGGTCATAGAAACACTCTCTCTGCTTTTTTCTCCTGAGAAGCAAATTCGCCTCAGCCTAGCTTTCAGGTCCAGGTTATAGGTCAAGAGAAATCCATGAAGAGACAGACGTTTTTGCAAACCAGAGATTTCCCCCGTATCCAAAGGCTACTGACACTTTCTGTTAAAGCTTCCTGACTTCATTTCTCTAACATGTAGAAATCTCACAGACAGTGAATGATCATTACAGCAATAATTGTTTAGCTCTACAGATTGCAAACTCTTCCTGCCTGTTGTCTAATTTTCCCGAAGGCCCATGCAGGAGCCATTCTCTCCTTTACAGACGAGTAAGTGGAGGTGCAGGGTGAGGAGTGATGCGCAGACGGGGGAGTCTGCAGTGGCGCCCGGGCCCCCGAGGCCTGGCGCAGAGCAGGGCGTGACCTCCCTACCCAGCAGCGTGTGCAGGGCACCTGCTGGAACCAACCCTGACCAAGGCCCTGACCCCCAAAGCCAGCTCCCTCCTCTGAAGAGGGAAGCAAAACAGGAGCAAGCAAACGGGACAACAAAAACCTCAGTTTTAGGGCGACCTGACTAATGAGTAACTTGTGTGTATTTGGAGCTAAAGGAGCATTAGAAAGGTAACCAAATTACTATTGCATACCTGTGCCGTAAACGTAACGTGGTACGTGTGTCAGCGTCGGGAAGGCTTCACAGCACCAGGTTGGCTCTAATGCTGAGATTGCGTGGCTTTAATTTTATAAGGTTTTACATACCAGTATTTTAAAATGTATTTATCTTGTGTCTTTTCTTCCTTAAATATTAATTTATTTTTGATAATCTGTGCTTTATAATTTTCATATTATTTATTTTATAATTTAAATTATGTACTTGTATGAATATTCTAATTAGAAATACACTGTGTGGTGGGATTTCAGGTAATTAAAAATTATCTACTTACCTTAATTTGCTAATTATTTTAAACCATTTATTGTCTAAATTAAATGATTTATTTTATTTTAGTTTTTCATTAAACAAAACAGTGGTGGGGTCATGTATATAAAGTTTTCATGTATTTAAAATTCATGCATTTAAAATTTTTATTGTTAACTGTATTTCTAATTTAATGATTCATTATTTTATTTTTTAATTTAAACTACTTTTCCTCATTCAAGGATATGCCCTTCACTGACTCCAGAGAGAGAGGAAGGGAGAGGAAGAGAGTAGGGTTAGGGTTCAGTGTGTACCCCAAGCGGGGATTGAACCCACAGTGTGGGTATGTGCCCTGATCAGGAACCAAACTTGCAACCCTTCGGTGCCCTTCAACGCCCCAACCAACTGAGCCACAGCAGCCAGGGCTAATTTAAACTATTTCACTTTGCTTTTGTGTACTTTCCAAAATTTTTATGGCTTAGATTAATTTTGCATTTCAAATTATTTGTTTGCTAATTATTTTATGTATTTCCTAATTCTAGCTAGGTAGTAATTTTTATTTTTTATTTGTATATATTATTTTTTAATTTTTCTACAATGTTATTTTATTATTTGCATAATAATTTTAATACTTATCCTTTTTTACCAATTTTCTCAATTTCCGGAAATTTAATTTAAAGAAAAACATCT